AACTACGTCTGCTGCGCATTTACTTTAGCAGAAGAGGGGGAAAACAACGTGAAAATGCCCACCAAGCTGAAGCTGTTCATGTAAAAAAAAAAAAAAAAAAAAAAATCACGTCGTTCATCCTGGGTTTGGGTTACGGTTAAATGTATTCAGTTTTAGTAGCTTTTCTTACCTGCGAGTTGTTCTGTGCGCTTTTGAAATCCCTGGATCTGGCCGTTAGACCCAGTCAGACTAGATATCCAACTTCTTCTTCAGGCCGGTGATGTGTGAGGAGGTGGTGGTGTTGTGGCAGAGTTGCCTCCCCTCAGCGACACAACTTTTTTCAGCAGCTACGCGTCCCCACGGATTGAACCGAGTCCGCGTCTCCCTGGACGAACCCAGAGGTCAAGAGAGCATGGTGCCGGTAGAAAGTGGCCCACGGTGCTCCACGGGTGACTGTGGGTCTCCGTACGGGGAGCTGTCATCACGTTTCACACGGGACAAGCCGTTACGAGCTGTTCTGCGCCTTCCCGTGCCTTCATACAATCAACGCCACCCACATTTACAGAGAAGTGCCCCGCGCATGCCTGAATAAAAAAAAAATAATAATAAATAAATTTAAAAAAAACACGAGGTTTGCAGGAACTCATTATTACCTAACAAAATAATAATTTTTGGTATTCATTACATTAATAAAGTATATTTTCTTAATTAATTTATCAAGCTGAGTATGAGTTTGAACTACATCTTTCAGGCGTTTTTAGGTTAATACGTGTATATCAATATAATAGGCATTTACCCTATTTTCTATTGATGTAAACGCACATTGTTTTCCAAGTTTACCTTCTCACCTGAAGAAATTTGCTGGGTTTCTTGGATTTATTTTTATTTTATTGGATGTACAAATTAACTAATTGCCTAAGATTTTTAAGGAATTACGCAAACTTTAATGATTACATCTGGAGAAAACTCACTATGAAACAGCTGAATAAAACTACCCAGATAAGACAGAGAGGAAATAGAAATATAGAGGCATACAATGACCAGCATGAGTTCAGTCAAATACACCATACATGCAAAAACAACTGTGTTTTGTTTCTGCTCTGTCCTGTGTCCTGTTCCTGAGTATAATATTCATTACATTCTGTATATTACTCTAACAGGTTTAGATGTCTTCTTATATACTCTTTTGTATTGTTTTTATCATGTGAAAGCATCTAATAGCTTCTCTATCAAATACTAAAGAGCACATGATGCTTTACAAGATGATTTAATCTCTTCAAAAACACAAAATACTCAATGTAAAGCCTTAGTTTATTCACCTTGCACACATAATCTCATATTAGCTCTAAGGTTAGCATTAAAAATTACTTAATGCAGTAAAACTGTTTGTTTTTTATTATTATTATTATTTAATTTCCCGCAGTAATTGTTATCTAAAAACAATGACTGAACATGCTGATTGATGTAAAATTTGTACAGACAGTGTGATTGTTCTCTGGCAGAATGAAGGAAACCCAGCATGAACATTTCCTCAGTTTATTACATAAGTTATGCACAACTCAGTACATGCTGGAGCTGTCCAGTCACATTACACCAAAAGATGTCCAGAGTCATTTTAGGAAGTAACGTGACATCAGACATGTGATATGTATATATGTTTTATCTTGTACTGCAAAGCTAAATAACTTCAGTGGAATAGTGACTAAAGCATTTACAGTTCTTACAGCTGGGAGATTTTAACTTGTAAACGTCTACAATAAGCGTAAACGTAGTTAACAAGAACACCATTGCAGATAGGTTTACTTTATTTTACCGTCCTCTCCTTCATGGCTTTCTTCTCTAACACTGTCATTTGAAGAGGCTGTGACACTTAAATCATACTTTTATGGAAACATAATCACAGCCCCGGCAGAAAGGATTACAGGTTTAGAAAGTACATGTTTATTTCTACCCACTGTTCATTCTGTGTTGTGGTGTGAAAAGTTAAATCAAGTTTTTCTGTATTTTTTGCTGCGTTGGCAGTACTGACAGCTTCCTCATATGTGATCCTGTATGTGCAGAACAATGGCAGGAAATAAGGGCGGCGAGATGCTGCTGCCGTGAAGAGCGGGCGAGGAAAAGGGAAAAAGAGGAGAATTCCCATTAGTCACACAGACGCATGCAAAGGAGGCTTTTATTCATTCTGATTCTAATTTAAATGTGAATTGCTTAGGATTTTATTTGTGTCTGGAAATGTTGCCCTAGAAAATAAAAAAGTGTCCATCTGCATCAACCGGTGAAATGTTACAGAACTGGATATTATTATTATTATTATTATTATTATTGTTGTTGTTGTTGTTGTTGTTATCAATATATTATTCTAATATAATATTATAATATTTATATTACTATAATAATAATAGTCATTATTATTAACATATTTAATACGAAAAAAAATCTTATTACTAAATAACAATAATAATTACTATTATTACTATTGTTATTATATAAATAGAATGATATATTAATAATTGCTATTATTTCAAAAAATAATTACATAATTTTTATTATTTCTAAGATTATTACAAATAAGGTTGTCATAATATTAAGAATTCTTTTATATTAAAATTGTAATAGTTACTACTGCTACTACTACTAATAATAATAACTAGAAATAATAATTTTTATTTTATTTAGTATTTTCTTTCCTTCATTTTTTGAATTGTCAGTTTTTTGTGCATCCTCAGTATAAATAGTTTTCAACAGACTTGAGTATTATTTTTAAGTAATCACTATGACAATTGCTAATTAAAAAAAGAAAAACAATAAAAATCATAAAATGATGTATTATTATTTTACTTTCAAATTAAACATTCAAGTTTTCAGTTTTTATACTCTGCTTTCTGTTATATACTTCCAAATGCAATTGTTACAGTCAAAAGCAGTTTTTTTTACTTGTCTTCACATTTATCTTTGAAATATTCAGCTGACATTATTTTCCTTACTCATTACTGATTCATCAACAAAGAAACAAAGTGTTATAACAATGCATTATCTCATTGTTTCAACACATTTTAAGGCTCCAAACAAACCCAGGATTCTGAAACTGCATCACTTGCTCCATCAACTCTGAGTCAACCACAGTGGGTAGAAAACCGTAGAGAGTCACGACTGGTGGGCTTCATTGACGCCACTTTCAGCCGAGTTTACACAAACGTAAGCGTGACCTCATGTTCACACACAGACTCAGTGAAGCCTCCAGATCCGAGTGAAACGCCGCCTCTGTCCGTTTTCACAGTGGCCACTTTCATCTCAGGGCATTATGTGGGTCTATTGTTTTGTCTCAATATTGCTGCGAGTGGACCGTCACTCTGATGCTCAGTCAGAATACATCAGCGCTCAAACAATAACTCTGCTGTATGGTTCACTGAGAGGCATCAGCTGCTGAGAAATATGCATTAGTGGGGAAAAAATGAATGAAAGTTGCTTAACTGATGTCAGTGACAAAATGACAATGAATCACTAATGTCAATGTTGTTTATTGTAAATGCTCCTCGGATAACTATAGCTCACTTTTTAAGCAGGTATTATAAATATTACTCAATTTATAACTGTTGTATATTTATAATATTACATTTTTAAATGGTAAAATGGCCTCTGGTTCATGAGTGCGCTTGTTTGTTTCGGGGAAAGGTCACAAATTCATGGAGTGCCCAGAAAAGTTCACTTTTCCTCTTTCCGGTGCATCAAACAGAGAGGCTATTATCGCTCTGCAATGGTTTCAAATGACTGAAACCATTAGTTTCAGTTGATTAATCACATTAATCAAAAGATTAATCACATTTAGAGATGTATCAATTAATCAAAATCAAATAATTATCCTTACAACTGTGAAAAAAAATCTGAAAATCTTATTTTTCTTTGAGTTTTGTGAAATATGTAATGAATGTCATACAAAAGTAATTTTTATATCAACCTACATAATCTTTCCAGAAAACCAACCACACATTTATTTATTTTACTCTATAACCGGTTATACTTTGTTGTTGGTTTAAAAAAAAAAAGCTTACATATGTACATGTATGTGTCATCCTTAGAAAGAAAAACAAAGTCTGCAGGTCAGAAATAAAAAAATAAAAACCTAAAGATACACCATCATTTAAAGCGTCAATGCTGTAATTTTTTCCACCAAATCGAAGTTTTCTGATGATCTACAACCAATCAAATTAAGATTTTTAAAATTAAAGATAAAAACAGGAAAAGGGACCATTTTTTAAAAACTCCATCGTCAGCCCTCATTTTCCCCCTCATTACTCAAAACATTATTAAACATTTGATCAGATCCTAAACCTAAAAAAAAAAAAACAAATTCAACATGCTTCTCATAAATGTGTAATATAGTCAACTCCTCAATTCAAATTTATCTGCACCATCATTTGCTGCCACCTGCTGGAAGCAAAGGATCAGCATTGTAAGTAACAATTTAATAACTTATTTGTATTTTGGCACTTCTGTCCCTCCACACATATTGACGCCACAGGAGCTGCGATTCATTTACACCCAAAGATTAAAATCTATCAAATCCACCATTGAGGTTTATGGAAAATAGTTTGTAATTTTAATAAGAATGACAATTTATTAACTCTACTGCAAATAAAACTGCAGTACAAATACTAATATGAAATAGAAGAAACCTTCAACAACAAAAAGAATGGTGAGAGATCGGGGAAATAATTTAGTTACTAGTTAGAGGTCACCGTTTCCTTTCACTACAGCGACCTCTAGCGTCCATGGCAAGAAAATCCACGTGAACGTGTTTACCAGATCTTTTCTCTCTCTTTTTTTTTTTTTTAGATAGGTAATGTGTGTTATCATTTTCAAAATTATGTCAAGAGTTCAGGCAGTTTTATTCTTAATTTTTACATTGCACCTGCATATATTTTTGTACATTTCTATATGCAAAAGAGACATTCATATTCCTTTCACAAGCATGAATGTGAAAGGAGAATCAGTGCAAAAATAATTCAGAGCTGGTAGAAAAATTGTAAAAACATTCTTTTAATTCATTTTACAGTTCTCATCAAATTTTACGTAACCAAGATAACAAAAAGGTTGCTTTTTTCCCCCCCTTACACAAACAGTTGTGTTCATACATATCAACACTGTTACATAAATACACTTGGCTTGGAACAACCCTTTCATATATATGCAACGATTTATAATCATTAAAAAGAAAAGAATGTTTTTATCCCATAATTACCCTAAGACTACAAAGATATATCATGAACTTGTATCATTTACATAATTAATATGCTGGGTATGCCTTCTCTGTGTCTCTGGATTAACTTCTGTGTGCGTTTTTGTGCATGTTTCATCTTGGGCCGAGCTTCAGTGACGCCTTGTTGGCGGAGATGTTCTTCTTTCCATGATGGTGCTTGCCCTTTAGGTTTTGTTTTGGCGCTTTTTTCAAGTAAAAATGAAGCTGCCAGGGAGCAAGTTTTAAAAAAGATGAGTATTTCAGCCGCTTTTTAAACAATTAAATCTTTCAAAGTAGAGATTTTCTGAAAATTTTCAACCTGGATAGCCTCAGCTGGTCCCACCGTCACTGTTTTGGATGAAGATAGGTAACCTGGAGCGGAGGCTTTCACGGTGTACGTTCCTGGCAGCAGGAGTCTGAAATAGTCGCCATCCACACCTGGAGGAATCCACGACACAGAGGTTGGTGTCAATTATTTTACATCGCCATTTACAGATCAGAACTGTAAACTTGTGGATTTAAAATCAGACAAGGTCCGGAAAGACTTGCTCTTTACAGCTGGTTCACCACAACTTACCACTAATGCTAAGGATAGTTAGCATGGCCACCAATGATGGCAGATAAGCAGTTTTCCTGTAACAGTAAGTTGTTTCTCTACCACTAGCACATTGAGCATCATATTAATGAGGTTAATGGCAACAAAACTTTTATTCGCTGAGCTCTAATTGTCTAAAGGACTTTTAGCGAGGGCTTGACGACATAGCTGAAAAACGAATCACGGTACAAGTGTCTCATATCAGTCGTTGCGTATAATAATTGATTTGTTTTTCTGTTTTAAACAGAAATACAACCAAACTAGTTACATGATCTTTCCTCTTTTATTCATGCTGTTTTTCTTTTGTTTGGTTGGGGTTTTTTTTCTATTATTGTTAAGCAGTTATGAGGCAAAGTGGCGTAACTTTAAACTGCTGCTGCGGCAGTTACTCACCAAACTGTTGCTAGGTAACCAAGGAATGAGTGAGTTGCTAGGTAACCAAAAAGTGAGTGAGTCAGTTGATTCCACCAGCTTTGCTTAGCTGGTTGTTACAGCAGCTAAAGCCTTTCCTTTGTCTACATGAATATTTTATGTATTAAATATTCTATTAGATGTATTATCTATTCATACCGATCGTGTCTATTGCGATACATATTGCTGTTGATTTATTGTCCAGTTCTACTTTTAACCTAATATTAGTGAAGGTACACCTGTAAATGATCACTATATTTATAACTTTGATCTTGTGTGGATTAAAGAAAATCTGGAATAAATTCAAACTTGTACACCGAATTCTTGTCGACATTATCATTATGCGAACCTCTGACCAGCACTGTGTTTAGACTGGACTTGTTTGAGAAGTGCATTTCTCCCTTCGGCCAGCAGAGGAGGGTCCATGTCTGTCTGAAACTGACTGCTCTAGTTTTCATTTTGTCCATTTCTCCTACAGTCAGATCAACTGTGCACTCCTCCAGCAATGGAAACTATTTAGATGTCTGTTTTTGTATCAAATAGCTGTTATTTATTCCAGATGTGTAAGCCTGTAACTATCCAAATGATCAAGATAAGATACTTTATTGTTAAGAAAATGGAAATTTCTCCTCAGATTTTACACATAACTCCAAAAATGCACAAAATCGATAGCCAAAATAAACAAATTGACATACATGGCACCTATTAATACATGTCACATAAATGCAAATGCATTTCCAGCATTTATAAAAACTGAATTTGCTATAAAAACATTTACATAAATAGAAACACACTGCAGTCTTACCGGTTGTGACATCATGATTAATCCCAGCGACAACAATCTCAGCTTTACTGATTGGGTTGTTGTTCTCGTCATACACCATGCCTTTAATCCCATGATGCACCTGGAAACAGGCAGGCGACATTAAAAAGAAAAGCAAAACTGCTGGAGTTTTTATTATCAAAAACATCATGGGAAGCATTTTTTATACTAATACCACGGATGGCTGTTAACCGTAGTGGTGGTGGGGCTACAAATTACATGTCGAACAAACTTTCCAAAACAATAAACTTTCCACAGAATGAAGGGATTTCAGTTTCACCACAATGAGGGGAAAAATAATTATCCCGACTTTGTGAAATAAGACTTCCTGACTATATATTTTAATCGCAGTGAATTAAAAGCACATTTAATTTTAAAACCAAACCACAACACTCACCGACACGAATATTTCTCTGAAACCGAAGGCCCAAATTTAGAAAGAGAGTTCACTAGACGGATTAAATTGACATCAGGGTGAATTTTTCTGACCTGTTCCAGGTACGAAATAAGCGCCTCTCGGTTGCCGAGCCATTCTCTGGGGAGCGACGACTCTGGAGGAAACTTGTCACAGCTCAGCTCCAGAGTGATCTCAAAACAGTTGGTGTACAGGTAGTTAAAGTCCTGCATGCCTTGAATAAACAGAAACAATAAATGAAAGATGATGAATCTATTCCTGTTAGATTTTAGAAGAGAAATCTCATTTTCTCTGAAGGTTCAAGACGTTTCTGGAGACAAAGACTGAACACTTTTCCTATCTTCTCAGATTAATAAACAAATGTTTATACATATTAGACTAAGATGTCACAATACCAAATTTTACTAGACGATAAATTGTCCCAGAACTTATTGTGATAAACGATAATATTGTTGCCTTGAGACCAAGTAATACAATAGTAATAAAGGCACAATAAAGCAAGAAGACATTCTTAAACACTGGAACTGGAAAACATTTAAAAAATCCAAAATAAATAAAGAAAACAACAAATAAAATGAATAATGAAGTCTCTGTAAACAAAATTATCTTTGAAAAAAAGGGCTAGTTGAAACCAAAACACCAGTCTGAATATTTTTATTATTCAGTTTTTGGTAAAATAAAAAAAAAGAGAGAGAAAAGAGAAAAACAATAAATCAAGGAAAAGAAAATAATTGAGTTTCTTTTAATTTGTCATGCGATTAATCGATTTATTGTTTATTGTGACAGGTCAAGAGGGGAGAGAATACAAAATGTAGTTTTTCAATTGACAATTTTAGGAGATAAATCGATCCAAATCAAACCAACTGTTGATCAGAATATAATTACCTCACTTTAAACCATGATTTAACTGTGATTAAAAATATTTCTATGGTTCAGAACCAAAGATTCACTTATTAGATCCCGTCAGACAACATGAAGTAGACCAAAATGTCCCAAAGAGTGAATAAAAAACCAACAAAAGTAAAAATGAGATTTGAAATGTTTTTATTCAAGAAGCTTCTCGTCTCTCTTGATGTCCGTGACGAAGCTCAAACGTAACCTCACAGACCATGACACAACACTTGGACCAAAATACCTGCTAAATTAAACATGACATACTCTTGCTAAATAAGACTGCGTCTGGTTTCGTCCCATTGAAAAACTCACGACTCATTCGTAAAGCTCTGCAGCTTCACATACTTTTCAACTGAGATGAAGCCGAACACTTTCTCTTATGGTCAGATAAACATTTGAAGTTTTAGATAAATCTTTGGTGGAAAAATGGGTCTCATTTCTCAATCATTGCCCTTGCTGGGTAAGTGCCAAAAACACAAACAGACACTCTGATTATAGTGTTTAGCAGCAATTTAGATTAACCAGCTTGTTTCCATCCCTCATTACAGGGCAAACATGTAAATCTCTCATCATTCTTTTGATTTTTGAACAGAAAAAAAAAGAATACAGAGAGTTTCCTCCACTTTGATTTTGATCTAACAATACACCAGCTAGAAACATTTACAGACTTATTTATGGACTTTACGAAGTTTATTGGCTGGACAATAAACAAATAATATATGTTGTGATCAATATCAGGAAATAACATGTCTGATAGATAATAATAATTTCACTGAACTAATGTAGGCAGAGGAAAGAGTTTAGCAGCTCAACTTCTCAAGCCCAGCTAAGTAAAGGTTGGCGGAATCAACTAACTCACTTTTTGGTTACCTAGCAACTCACACATTCTTTGGTTACCTAGCAACTTACGCATTCTTTGGTTACCTAGCAACTCATGCATTCTTTGGTTACCTAGCAACGACCTATAGAGTAGCAGTTTCAGGTTTTGCTCCTTTGCCTCATGACTGCTCAAAAAACAAAACACAAAAACAAAACAATGTAGCTGAGAAAAAACTGTGGCTAAAACAGAAAAGATCACACCAGCAGTTTGTCAGCATTTCAGATATTTAAAACAAAAATTATCGATTGGTATGAAATGCTTACATTCTGTCAGCCATACTGCCCAGCCCTAGTCTAAACCTAGATCAGTTTCACACTAGAGAGTTTGAAATGGTCTGGGCATGTATAGATCAAAATTATTACTTTAAATCGATGAACCATTGACTCAGTTTTAAGAGAGTTCTGCATAAATTTTCTAGTTTGGAATCAGCTCTACAGATCACGTTTACCCGGACTGTGGTGATATTAGCTTAACTTAACTGTTACAACTTCTGCACACAGCGTTACAACATTACCTAACAGACAGTCCAACCTTTATCTATTTTCCCCCGTGGCAGGGATAAAAAAATCCAAATTAAAACTGGATTTCAGGCCTTGTCCATACTTGTCTTTTTTTTACCAAGTCTATGCTTGTATGCAGCTGAGAATTTCAATACTCATTCTCTTTGGCTGCATAGGGGTTTGCTCAACATGACTTCACAATTTTTATTAAACTATGTTCATCCAAGAGTGCATTCTGGACAGGTTGCCAGTTCATCTTAGGGCAACAAAGAGAAACATAGGAAAAACAACCACACACACACCAGCCCTGTTTAGTCTGCTTTAATCCAACTCTAGTTAGTTTATCTAGAAAGTCCAGTTTGTTTGGGAAGATGTGAATTCGCTATCAAACACTGATGCAGACTAAAAAAGCAAACTCTGGTTTACCTAAACCCCTGAGCAGACCAGGTTTTAGTTCAGTCAAAGTTAAATGTAACCGCGGTGCCGTTCAAAAGCATGTGTGAACGCCAAGTGGACCAAAAGCGGCTCTGAAAGCAGGAAGCAGACTATAGCAAATAGCATGCTGGGTAAATACAACCAAAACAAACGTGAGAGTTTAGTACCAGCAGGAGAAAAGGATGGCGTTTTTTTTTTTTTTTTACCAAAGACAAAAGAGAAATTATACAACCTCTAAAATCTGACGCCATATTTTTGAATTACTAAAGTTTCTAAGCTCAATAAATCTGGAACAAACTTTCAGAAAACTGCAGAACTGCCGAAACATTGAGTTCCTTTAAATCAGAGTTGTTTTTGATTAGTAAATGGAACATTAGCTGCATTTCCATTTACTTTAAAATTGATCAAATTGTAACTATTAAGATAAATTCGAAAAAGGGAAGAAAAAAAAAACAGTGTTTATAAAAATCCACGTTTCCGACACGGCTTTTCATCTGTATCAGAAGTAGTGTATTTCAATGGAAACACTGTTTTTTATGTTTGTTTGTTTTTCACACGACTTGTGATGAACAACCGGATGTTACGAAGAAGACAGGAAGTGGAAGAAGGATGGTGTTGCTGCATATTTTTTATTGTGTGATCAAACTTATTCATAAGTTTAACTGTATTTTTTTACTTAATTGTGTTTTTTCAACTTTGGCGGAACAACAAAGTTTTGCAAACATCTGTAATGAAAACACAGCAATTATCAACATACCCGATGTGTATTTGCTTGATGATTTTAATGATAACACTGACAAAATGCAATGTTTATTGCTTGTTTTAGAATCAGTGACTGTATGATATTTTCATGATGTGAAGCACTTTGATCTGTTCTGTTGCTGAAATGTGCTATACAAAGAAACTTGACTGAGAAAAAATAGGGAAGAAAGTAATTTTCTGAAAAGAAAAAATGGCCAATTGAACATTGCTGAGACATAAAAACGGCCCAAACACGGGACAGAATCAACTGAGTGGGTTTGTTTAGCAAAGGCAAAGGTCCAAACTAGTCAACGATGAGTCAGTATGAGAGAGAGCTTTCCAGAAAAAGGCTTGGGACGGTATGCAGCGACAAAGCAATGATCAAAGTGTTGGGTGAAAACCAGAAAACAAACACTGCAGGACATGCTGAAAAGCGCTGAAGCCAATAGAGACTATATTTACAAGGTGAGAAAAAACAAACAAGTTGTAACATGACCAGGGGTCGCATCATGCTAGGAGTTAACTTTTTACCTTTAGACAGAGAATACCAGCTGGCTCCGTTGGTGATGCCTTCGTTAAAAAAATCTCCGCAGTTCCAGCCTAAGTGCATCCAGCTGTGAGCGTACGAGTACGTCCTCGCCAACTATCATCACACACAAACGCATATGCTCCCCGTCATTCAGATGCTTACACAAATATGCATCAGACAACAATGAGATCAGGTCAGATGTGCAACATCTGGGAGGAACTTTTAAGCAGCTGCACACCTGCCTGAAGATTTTGTCATCCGCAGTGGCCGAGTACGTGGTCCTCCCTCGAATGCGAGCGTCTCGTGATTTGTCGAAGGGGTAGTTGGCCACCACCGCTCCTCCGTGGAGATTGGCCGACAAGACGAAATTGTAGTTTTGCATCCATTTTATGACCGCCAGAGTCTCGGGTTCAACCTGTGAGGAAGAGTCAGGGTGAAACAGAGTAATGCTGAGGGATACAGTGCAATAAGGAATCAATTATTTTTGAGAATCGAATGTTTGAAAAGTCTGAATTTCTTGCCACTAATGCACTCCGTTGGTTTCCACAGTTCAGAGTGATGTCAGCATGCCAAATGCCACCATCTTGTTTAACAGTTTACAGTTTAGGCTTTCAATTCAGGTCTATGACAAAGTATATCTGCTTTCATTACAAGAATACAGTCGTAGTAATACAAAAATAAAGTCTTAATATTACCAGAATGAAGTCATAATAATTGGAGAATAAAGTAATAATTTTAAAAGAACTCAAAAAATTTTTTAAAGCTTTTGTCTTATTAAAACTTCTTCCCATAATTTTAATATGTTCCTCTAGTAAAAGTGCATCTTTATTCTGCTCATAGTATGACTACGTTCTTCTAATTGCACAGCAATTCCTGTAGCCTGGCTCTGGTACCCCGTTGTTCGATAAATTTACATTAACTTAAATTCATTTTTATGATTAATTTATATAAATGTAAAAAGTATTTTTTTCTGACTTAATTTGCTTGTTTAATTAATAAAATTATATTTTCTATTCGAGTATACTTAAATTAAATTACTAAATTTAAAAGGTTTAAATTAACTTTGACTCAAATCCAAACAGTAAAATCTCATTAAAAATATTGGGTTGTAAAGTGCTGCCTTAATTTTACTGAGTAGATTTTAGTATTTCTTTTTTACAGTGTAATGCACATGTGGTAATTTACTGCTTCACACAGTGAGGTTTTCTAAAAACTCTACTAAAAGGTAGTGATTAAAACATCAAAACATCATTTTACCAAGTAATTAGAAAAAGATGAAAACATAAGATTTTCTATTTATGGAGGATTTTCACTAAATATTCTAGAGTCTCTGTAAACCTTAAGTCATTTCCCCACATCTGAAGAACAGGAAGGCATTTTTCACTTCAATCATTCCTTTGAGTGAAATACTATCACTTGGCTAAATTACAGCATGCGGCCTTGATTTGCCTGAAGGCTAACGCAGAGCTTGTGGCTCCATGTTGCCAGTAAATGTTACCCTGACCAGCATGAATAACACGGCGATAACAGTGGCACGGTTGTGTCTCCGAGTCTGGAGGCGGCCATCTGGGACAAACTGGGGCTGCTACACAGAAAAACAGTAGTTTTAACATTTTAATGAAAAATATGGAGGTGAAAAAAGATGGAAATTATAAACTCCTCATGTTTGCTTGAGAGTAAAAATCAGACACTTTAAACCAGTTTCTGATTAAGCTGGTTTAAAGTAAGGGATGAGGAACCAGTCTCCTAAACTAGTTTCCCAATAAGGTAAGAGTCTAGAATTATATATTTACATAATTTGTTTTACTTTTTTACTTTGTCTTGCGACATTATGATTGCACCCAAAACCACTTTATAATTTTTTAATCAAGTTTTGTAAATATTTTAAAATAAACAAATCATTGAGAGTTTCCTGTATAAAGCATGTTTTATCTGTTGATGCAGAGATGAATTATTTTGTATCATAATAAGTAAAAAGTCTATATGCCACTGTTTAAACTGACATTATGAGAGAGGGTTTTATTTGATGACGTTATTGATGTTGCACTGTGTTTTTGTAAGTAAATGTTTTAACTGTCAGGACATTTGCAAAAGACATCATTGGTGTCAAGAAGTTGTATCCTGGTTAAATAAAGGTTGAAGAAGAAGAAAAATTGAATCAGCAGAAATAATCAAACTCCTTGTGTGTGTGTTTTGATCATGACGTTGTTATATTTTTTTCCATACGTCTTCTTGTATTCATTTCATTTGCTCTTATATTTAATAAATTATCAGTTCAATCTTTTGTGTTTAGTTTCTTAGTTTATTCTTGTGCGTTTGGATTTATTACTATTACATTTATGTTGCTCTTTCTCTCTCCATTTCTGTTAATTAGTCTCCCTCCCTCAGTTTCTCCACTTTCCTTCTGCCAACACTGTTTCCACGTCTCCTTTGATTAGTTCATCTGGTTTATTGTTTTCCACTTCAGCATTTAAGCTCCTGGTTTTTGTTTGCTCCTGTCTTGACTCTCTGTAGCTCTTCTCAGTGGAGTTCTATCTAAATCTTAATTTTTCATTATTAAAGCTCTTCAAGTCTGCCTCCACCTGGATACAACCAGAAACCAAACGCAACACCGAATGCGTCTTTTTTAATTTGTTTAAAAACTGAACAGCAGTAACAAAAGGAGAGACAGACTTTGGTTTCTGCAAAAGTGATGCAATCTTATGAACTAATTGTCATCATTTCATTATTAAAAGCAGATGGAAATCTGCTAAAATGTGGTACAAACACCATCATGTCTACTTTCAACTTTACACAACAGGCTGAAGGACGCTGTTGTATTTTGATTAAATGGAAATCTGATAGGCTACAATATTCATTCCAGCTAGTAGGAAAACTTAAAAGGGTTAATCATGAACAGCAGCTTTTTCCTTCTGCATTCGAGAGGAGAAGTTGAGACTCCCCCAAGGACCTGACCTTCATGCTGGAAACGTGCCTTTTGGCAGACTATTTGCAATACTTTGACGGCACATGCTTTTATAAATCCCCCTACTGTTCATTTCACACTTGAGTGCCCTGAAGCAAGTACACAGTGAACTGCAGAAGCCATTCGATCACCTGGAATGAAGCCAGGTGTCTTCTGAAACCAACCTCAATGGTGGTATTTACTCTGTAAAGTTAAGCCAACAGTTGTACCCTTTAAGAGACTTTAAAGGTAATATTCACAAAACTGCAGCTTCTAGAAAGATATGAAAGATATGTGCTTTCTTTACGTGGAACTTTACTCTTTCAAGCCCTTTTTCTGTGTTTCTTTACATGCAAAAACCTAAAGCAAATTCATGAAAACAACATAAAATTTTATATTTGTGTTAATAAAGTGGAGATTAGCTGTTATTTACACTTAAAACAAAAAACAAATCGCCTGTAGAGTCTTTATGTTTTTTTTTATTATTAATTCTTCTAATAACAAAAACAAGCAACGCTTGGCCTGGCGGGGCAGCTAGTAAAGCATGGCGGGCTGCCAGGCTTATAATACACTAGGGGAAACCCTGTTATGGATAAAACACTCTTTTATTCATTTATTTAATATGTTATTTTTGTTCAGCTGCAGATGTTTTACAGAATCTGAGCTGTGTGCTACGTCACTGTTTGTCTTGTAGCGGAAGAAGCGTCAGTTGAAACGTTGTAGCTCTGGGAGAAGAAACTTTATGACGGTTTTGTTTCTGTGCGTCAGTGCCCGGCTGCTTCTGAGAAAACAATTCCCCAAAAAATACACAGGGTGGGGCAGATAAAGTTGCCAAAACAGAAGACAGAGTCCTGTCTGTTTCAAGAGTCCAACATTTGCACCAAATTGTTTGTAAAGCAATCCGATCTTGTCAAAACTCGTCAGTTTATGAATATCAACAAAGTTAATGCCAAAGAAACCCAGCAATGTCACAGTTGCCCATTATTCAGCACATACACACACAAACTCATCTGGTTTCCCACAGACTTCATTTTTCTCCTCATCTTCTTGTGTATTTTCTTTCATTTAAACAGACATTTCTATTAATAAGTTAATACACATATGCAGCCAAAGCCAGATTATTTACATTTAAAACATTAGGACTGGACAATAAATCAGTAATAATGTATCGAGATAGACACAAGATCATTTTGTGTGATAGAATATTCAATAATTTTACAGGTTGGTGGAATCAACTAAGTCACTCTTTAGTTACCTAGCAACTCACTCACTTTTTGGTTACTTAGCAACAACCTGTTGGGTCACTGTCCCAGAAGCAGAAAAAAATTAAAAGTTTTTGTCCAAGAAATGACTTAAGAGTAAACAACTATTTGGTAAAAGGTCTATTCACGTACCGAGTAACTGATCAAAACATAAATCATTTAATATCTAAAAATAACAATCAATCAGACCAAAATACAAACTTTTGTGGAAATTTTGGTATTTTAGAGACCAAAATGAAAATAATTTATATGAGTAACATTATTACAAAATAACAAAATCAGGCAAATTCAGTTTCTTTCTTAACAAAAAACTGCTGGTATTTGATTGTGTCTGGTGAATTTTTGGTTAAAAATTCAAAATTGAAATTCAAATATACTTTATTGATCCCAAACTGAAATTAAATTTAATTTAATTTAAATTTAAAATGGGCTTGTTCGTCATTCAGTGAAGTTACTCAGAGTGGGTAGTGTATCCAGAAATTTTATTCAAGCAAGAGCTGCAATAATAAAATTACTCAAGTTAAAAGTACTCTATAGAGTACATTTTTTCCAAAAAAGTTAAAAACAAATAAATATAACTAGTTACTACCCAACTCTGCTCAGAGACAAAAACAATTTTTAACACATTATAAAACGAAACTAAAACATTTGAGCCAAGTCAGACAGTTTAAAAGGCAATGTTACCAAATACTGAGGAAAGTTTTACATTCTAACTGTCCTAAAACAATTAAATCTGTTTAATGTCAGAAAAGGTTATTTCTCTTTTAAGTGTATTTAAGAGACATAAGCACATTATAATTGAAGCATCTCCAGTAACACTGACCTGTTGTTCCCAGTTGTCTGGCAGAGGGAGGTGGTGGTTTCGTCCGTTGGTTTTCTCGTAGTAATACATCAGTGAATTCAGGTCTGGAAAGTTTCGATTCAGGTCGATGTCTCTGGAATTCCCCCGACCCACCAGATATCCGTTCAGCTCAGAACCCTGTTGACCCACAAACACAAACTGACCAACTGAGTGATTGCTCAGCATGTATTGCTGGTATCAGCTAACTGCTCTAAAAAGTTAGCTGCGGTCTGAGTTTTATTTTTCACTTAGCCTAAAAGAACTCATGACTGGGTTCGGTTGAAGTGAATTCTGGTGCGGTTTGGACTGGAGACCGCTCCAAAAGCAGGAAGCTAACTACAGGTCAGGGTATTCTGGGAAAATACAATCAAAACAAACGTTTGTGTCCAGCGCCACCGGGAGAAATGGCTCGTAGTCTTTTCCAAAAAACAAAATGAAATCCTATAACAGCTAACATTTGACGGCTTTCCATTTTTGTTTACGTTTTGTGAAGAAGGAAGTTGCGGTCAGTGTCTTCTTCTGAGGCTTTTGTGCCGTTTCCTTTAGTGGCTCTTGATGCAGCGCCCCCACTGGCGACGGGGAGCAAGGGTTGGCGATATGGACTCAAATTTCTATCGTGATATCTTGTGATACTACTGTGATAGCAATAAAAATTACAATAAGAACTATTTATTACTCATTTTTTAGAGCCCCACTAACACAAATACTGTTCCTATTAGTACAGTAATTGCATTTAACCATATTTTCAAATTTATTGATGCCTTCATTGAACCAACAGTGGAGAAAACAGTAACAATAACAATCCCAACAATCAAAATTGTCATCATGATAACAAATTTAATTATTTATTATTTCCTTTATTTAACCATATAAAACCCAATTGAGATCTAGACCTCATTTTCAAGAGGGACCTGGTAACACACAACAACCTGGTTACACAAAAGTAGAACAAATTTAAACATACAGTATACACATGTTGCATTCAATAAGTATTTTATTTAAATTATTACTATTTTTTAAAGTTATGGATAATACACTCTTTTATTCATTTATTTAATATATTTTATTTGCCCAGTTATTTTTGTTCAGCTGCAGAAGTTACGTCACTGTTTGTTTTGTAGCGTCAGTTGGTCAGTTGTAGCTCTGGGTGAAGAAACTTGGTGACGGTTTTGTTTCTGTGCGTCAGTACATCAGTACCCGGCTGCTTCTGAGAAGAACAATTCCAAATAAAAGAGAACCGAACCATCTGAAAATTCAACAAATGTTGCAACTTTGCTCCCCAATCGAACCAAATGTACCAGAATATCACGTTTGAAAACCGTTACAGACACCTTCATGAAAATGTATCCGGTTCTGTTGTTCTTCTGTGATTGTATAGGACAGAACCGACACAATCCAAACCAAGATTCAGGAAAACAAACCTTACCATTCAGATGGTGCTGCACCCAAACATCTGCTAAGCGCCAAATTACAGTGGAGTTATTCCTATGTGCTGCGACTGGCAAAGAGAGGGCCTGCTGTCTGCCATGTGCTGCAGCTCGCTTCCGGACTTATAATTAGCCTCAAAGAGATTGCACACACGTGTATGTGTTTGTGTCAGAGTGCGTAGCATGCGATCTGTGGTTCAGTCCCCAATTACCTCCAAGATAGTCACTAACTCGAGCAAACACTGGGATAAAAATTACCTGCTATTGTCTGGATGTGTCATTTGAAATTAAAACAGATGGTTTAGCATATTATCGCGTGGATTTAAACAAACTATGTGTTGAGTGTGAGGAAAGTGCTTTGATTCACTCTGGGACCCTGACATTTTTGGCGAAAAAATAACAAATCTACTTCTTTTTTTTTTTTCTTAGGTAGCAGATGACTAGATTAGAAAAACAGACAAAGAGAGTCCCTTGGGGAGATTTCTGTCTCTGGTTTTTCTTTCAGGGCGAAAAAAGCTCACACATATACCAGAGTTTACATTACCTGCCTGGCTGCCACTTCATAGCCGTCGGGGTTCATGGAGGGCAGGATGTGGATGCGTGTGTCATGGATCAGCCGCGTGATCCGCTGGTTTCCGGCCCGGTACTCCTCACAGAGAAACTGCGAGAGCTTGATGAGGAGTTCACGGCCTAGCACCTCGTTGCCATGCATGTTGCCCACATACTTGAACTCCGGCTCCACTGGAGGAAGAATTGGAAAAATGCAGGCAGCAGGAAAGTAAAAAAGATCATCCGGCATGAACACGCATACACACTTGCACTTAATTTTTTAAACAGTTCAGGATTGGCCTGTAAATAATTGGGTGCAGTTTTAAGAATAAGAAAGAAAGGGAGTGCTTTTTCAACTCACGCACTGAAAAAAACAAAAATACTGTTGAATTAATGTCAAGTTTCCACTTTTTGCAGGAACTGAGGAGGTCAGCGAAATGATTTCAATATCAATCAGGCACGTTACTTACATCCTAACATTATGTGCTTTATTTTGGTTTTAAATAATTACATTTTGATGCTTATGTGAAGTTCAGCTAAAGAAGTACATTGTATTTATAATAATAATAAATATTATTATTAAATTATCATTTAATAATAATAGAATTATTGTTAATTTTATTATTACTAAACTTATAATAAAATTATTTTAATAATCCCTTTGGATTAATGAAGTATTTTTGAATTTGAACTAATATTATTATTATGGGATAGTAAATTTTCTTGTCCTGTTATGAGACTCAGTTTGTAATCATTTTGTTTTATCAGTAAACTGAACAGGCATATGAATACCATAACATGTTTTTAATTAGAAATTTCTGATAATTATTAAGTCGGTATGTGATTCATTTCATTAAATTGAGATAAGGGGTATAATTAAAGAGGTGCTCACTTTCCAAACAGAAAAACAGTGGTAAATAGTGGTAAGCTGATTATTTTGTCCTTGTTTTCTCAAATTGTTTGACATAAATAATTAAATACAGAAGTCAATTGACCGCATTTGGTTTGCAGAGCTTGAAAAACAAGTTGTTGTAAATATGCAGATGAACACACTGACCTTTTTCACAGCATTGACAAAGATCGCCAACTGTGGCCCCAATAACTACAAATAAACAATAAAAATAAATGACTCTAAACGACTGAGCTGTGGTCTGAAATCAGGAATTCCTCCCAGTCTGGATCTGGAGGCGAAACCTCACAGGCATTGTGTCCGTTCCTGATCCAATCCGACTGTTTAACTTTAACTAGACGCCCAGGGCAGAATTAAACCCCACATATTATTGTAATTAAGCTTTTACAGCTTCAGACCACCATTTCAGTAAGCAGTGTAACTTTTCCCCTTTCCTGGTTTTGCTTCACATATTCCAGCTCCATTTTGTTGTTTGTTGTAACCGCAGAGTGAGTCAGGTGCAAATCCTCTGGGATGTGTGGTTGCTAGCGCAGCAGAATAGGATCACATATGCACTTATTATAAGCTTATATAAATAATATTAGGCACAGTTTTGCTGATTCACTAACAATGGAGCTAATTAGCCACTTAAGCTAACTTTAGCGCACTTAGCTTCCCCTAAATTAATTTTTTGAAATTCTGAAGATTCTAAAGTGCTAATTTACTTGGCTGTTTTGTAGACTTTCAGTTGAATACAGTCTGATATTTGTGTTGAAGTTTTTATTGTTTTCTATTGCTTTATTTTAAACAAGAAACACAGACAGCAGACATTTAAAGTTTTAAAGTTTTTAAGGTAACTATGTGATTGTGTGTGACTGTGTGTCAGAGCAGTTACAGCCCCACAAACACAAATAATACTCTAGAACAGGGGTGTCAAACTCAATTTCACCGAGGGCCACTTCAGCA